AGGTGGCAAAACAACTCACCTTGGTTACCTCTGAGGCAAGCAAGAGTTTTCTGAAGATCAACAGTACCTGAAGTCAAATAGGGATGATGCTAATTCCAGAGGTGCACTATAAATCATGTAAGTACAACTCTTTGGGGTCTAGCTGTTCTGTCATAGGGATATTCTGCATACATCTATTCCCTGGAAAGCAGTCTTACTGCAGATGGTGGTTCTTTTCCCATTTAGGACCTGTGGGACATCACCTGGGACTCATTTGTTAACAGTAGAATTTCAGTTTCAGACACCTGCAAATGAGACCCCTAGAGCCCAATTCTGTTTTCTAAACACAGGCAGCAGTGCCATTTGAGTTGCCCTGGAGTATCCAACATGGTTGGGGTTAAGCAACTGAATAAAGGAGTGAAAGTGGGATTCACTTCACAAATCCAACATTTTAACCTTGGGAATCCTTAGCCAATTATTTGGAATGTCCTATCCTACGTCACTTCAGAGCCCCTCATAGATGTTTCGGAGGCTCCAGAACACCTCAAACCACTCTAGATTCCTCCAATGTGACCAACAAATCAAGCCATACTTGCCTACTTTAGGGCTATCAGAATAACTCTAAAATTGCCCAACAAAGCAGCTAAGACTCTTGGCTGATTCTATGATTCTGTGATTGGTGCAATCATAAACACATTGGGAACACATCTGAATTGGCGTGTTGTCTTCAAAGCCTAGGTAGTCATGCAGGGCTTGACTGAATTGCCTAAATAGAAGTGTTCCTATCCACCTCTCACAGCCCATGGGCAACTAGCAACAATTCCATACATCTCCTCCCTCCTTGTCTTAGCCATGTCCCTCAGGATTGGATAAATTGTCTTCAAGACGAACATAGTTACCCCTAAGCAGCAGAGACAATTACAGAGTTAGGTGGAGATGCTGCACTGAGGTTAAGGTTCATGAGCAGCTACACTGATTCCTCAGCACCTTCATGGTCTACACCCAAGTGACATGATTGGGAACCCATGTGGTAGCACAGTGGGATGAAAAAATACCTTCTGCCTTTAAGCTTAAATCAGCACATTGCCTTCCTTCTCTTACTGCTGCAGATCCATTTTCATCATTATTACGTCTGTAATAGGGCTAGAGTTGGGTCAATTGATAAGCTCAGGCTTTCTATGATTTCCATATCCAGGTATTCCCCAAGTGCTAGTGGCTATATGAGCTAGAATTTCTTTCAGTATGGTCTCCTTAGCATTGAATTTAGGCTTATGCAGATAGGAAAACTGTTAGTCTTGATGCTGGTAAAGAGAAAACATAAAGAATTGTCTTCTTTCACATACCTACATTTCAAGAGAAGGATAAAATGTCTTCTGGACCAGTTTTGTAACAGTCTACTTAGCTACTGCTGCTCTTAAAGGCACAATATCTTCAAGCACGTTGCCCTGGGTGTCTTGGACAGGGAATGGAACAAAGAGCTCTGATTCATTCATCGAAATCTTGAGGACCCTTTAAGCACAGCAGCAGCATCCCAGACAACAAGGGACGTGCTGTTCTGATGCTCACATTCATAAAAGACAAACAGGATAATCCAGCTCATAGTAGGCTGGTTTGACGTTGCTCTTTGGCAAAATAAAGGAAATACTAATGTGGGTATAAAGGAATAGAAGACATTAAAGAAGAGGTAAACAATTAACGCCAATCATCATCCTTTTTAGGGAGGAAAGGTTGTCAAACTTGATTTCATTCTCTGATGTGATGGTATGTTTTGGCTGATAAAAGTAATTGCAAAGATGGAATATATTCTGACTTTGGTATGTTTGACGGTGCAGCAGATCCTGATTAAAATATTAACATTCTACCCAATCAATACGAAGCACATAAAATGGATTAAGGATTGTCTGACATGTCAACAAAGAAGCTGTCAGAGAGGAATCACCATAGGAGAGTATTTTTTTAGAGGGGTTCTGCAGGGATCAGTAATAGGTCTGAATGCTATTGAGTGTTTTCACTAATGACCTGAAAGTAAATATTAAAACTGCTGATAACACTGGAAAATAATGAAGAGGACCAGGAGCTACACAAAAGTGCTCTTAGTATCGTTGTTAACAAGCTTTTATATCCAAAAACAAGCAAGCAAATCATGCATGCAGGGTCCTGCAGCACAGGGATTTAGGCATTCTAAAGAAGCAACCCAAAGTAATTCTTCCAAGATGATATTTTGTGGCTTTGAATGTTATTTCTTGCAAGCACTGATGCAATCTCTGAATGTAATTCAGAGGAATAGGGGTGAAGTCTTTACTTTCTGTATGTTGCATCACTACACTTCATGTTGAAATAATGCCTCCAGATCAGTTACCTGGAATCTAGAAAGACTGTCAGGACAAAAGGAAGAAAAGAATAAAACAAAAGTTGCAGAAATGTCTCAAAAATTATTCAGGGACCAAAAAGCCACTGTTATATGTGTAAACCTCAAGAACAGGATGTATTTATTATTTTTCTGTAAAGGAGGATTGAAAAGAAACTTGAGACTTCTTTATGAGTGCCTTTGGGGGAAAACAGTAGATACAAAAGCTCTTGCTAATGCAGCAGCAGTGGGCAGAGGCAGAACCAACAGAGAAAACATTTGCAGAAGCAAGAGGAAGGATCTGACAGATCACACATCTCTGGGAGGCAGTGGACTTTGACCCCAACTCTCAGTGGCTTCAGATAAAGATTGAAACCTTTTTATTATGCATTTGTTAACTTGATCAAGCAGGAGGTGAGGGGGAAAATGTCCTAGATGTGAAAGGTGAGACTTGGTGAGACAAGATACGAGGAACAGCTGAAGGGAATTGGGATTGTTCAGTCTGGAGGAGTCTGAGGGGAGACCTCACCACTCCCTACAGAGCCCTAAAGGAGACTGCATTGAGGAAGATGTTGGTCTTTTTTCTCAGCTGATGGATGACAGGACAAAAGGAAACACTGGGAGAGGTTTAGATTGGACGTCAGAAAGAATTTCTTCATTGAACGGTGGTGAGGCATTGGAATGGGCTGTCCAGGGAAGTGGTGCAGCCTCCATCCCTGGTGGCATGTAGCTCTAAGGTACATGGATAGATTTGGTAGTGTTAGTTGGTGGTTGTACTTGGTGATTTTTAAGGGTCTATTCCCCACTTCAATGATTCTATGATTCTATTTATGGGTCCCACACTAAGTAAGTACTAAAAGCCATGGAGCTGTGAAACATTAATTTAGGGAGCTGAGAAACCCATCACTGGCTCAATGGGGCTTCACCTCCAGTCTTCCTTCTGCCTCCTTCCCAAATCCCTCCCTCCATGAACTCCACCCTGTGGCACCATGCAGTGTGGGCAAATCAGGAGTAAAATCTTAAATCCATCAGCTGGGGGGATATGAGATAATGCTGAAGATTTTATCTGGTGTGCCCTCAGGCAGGTCTTCAGAAGGGAAGTCGCCAGCTAAACCTTGTACCAGAAGTTAGCTTGCTCTCCAAACCAACAACTACTCCTTTTGCAATTGATGCACGTCCTGCTGGATGTCCCCAGAGCAGCCTGGGAGGCTGGGACATCACTCCCTCAAGGACTGTCTTCAGGAAACAACTTGCTGGAATTCAAATGCTTCTTTGTTTATGAAATAAAGTCCACCAGAACTATTGCCAATTGTTTATGCTAAAGAGCACACTCTCATTAATGTTAATGGTGCTTTAGAGCATAAATCCTTGCTAATTGATATAGGAATGCATCCCAGAAGAGTTTATATTACTGCTGATTTAGCTGATAGATATAAACGTGTGAGAAAGAAATATTAGCATTCATGTAAAACAATTAGGTTATAAACAGGGGCAAATGATTCCGAAAATGACTGCAACTTTCCACCTTCCTTTAATGGACGAAAAATAAAGTCCGCTAATGAGGAAAATTGGGGAGTATGAATGGAAACTAATCACTGCTATTAGTTAGTATCTGTAATATGTCAGCAGGGCTGGGTCCCCATCTGAGTTCAGTACAGAGGTGAGATGGACAGGAGCATCCTGCTGCCCCATGCTGCTCTCCCTATGGCTTTTCTGGGAGCAGTATTTTAGGCTCACTCATCTAGCAAGGCTGGCCACCCCATGTCAATACCATTGGCTCAAGATGTGTGAATAGAGAATGATACAAGCAGCGGGTAGATTTCCACAATTTAATATTCTTTTTTTTTTTTTCTTTTTTTCTTTTTTTTTTTTCCAGATAATATAATGGCATATGAAAAGTGAGGCAGTAATGCAGTTCAAAAGAAAAAAAAGAAAGCAACCCCCACCGCTCTCCTGGATCTTTCTGCCAAAGGCTGACATTACTGTAAGTTTGCTAAATACAAGCAGTCCAGGCATTTCCACAAAAATCTGACTGTTCAAAAAGTACAATTCTGTGGCAAATGTACAGCCATAAAGGAATAATTTTTTTCAGTGTACCCAATGATTTTCGCTATTAGGCTCCCACTTAATTCATGGGCTTTGATGTGGAAATGTTTTCCTAAAAGAAGGCTCAGATACAGGATACAGTAAGTCACTCGTCTTCTGCAAAAAGATGCTTTGACCTCGAGTGCTGAATCTCTGATTGAGTATACCGAGTTTAGTTTTTATTCTAAACCTATCCAGAATCAAGAGGAAAAAAAGTCACATACCAAAAAGAAGTATATTACTGTTTGTGGAAGAAATATAGTAATATTTCGTTACATTTTCTGATTCACATATTTTAGCTATTTTATACCATTTTAGTGCAAAAGCAAGCACGTTTGGAAAAGGATACAAAATTCTGCATTTTAGTATCTTTTGCTGAAAGTCACTGAAAGGTCAGACTTTTTCTCCCCGCACACTAATTTTCAAGGTCTCAGTTATTAATGAAATGTATCAAGCGGATTATACAACATTTGCCTGGGTATGGTTAAAGACCACATACCCAGTAAGATTTCATATAACAAAAACGTGCCCAACCCTATAAACATTTTTTTTTCCATTTAATGCTCATAAAATTTTACAGACAACAGAATCCTTTCTTAAGCTTTATTTAAGAAATCGAATACTATTATAGTTCAATATATATAAGACACATCCAGTATTGTGTTCCTGATAGCAAGTGCATAGATTTTAAGATATCATTTTTATATTTTAATTTTTTTTTTTTTTTTTGTTACTCAGTAGCATGTTTCATGATCACACGAAGGGATATTCCCAGTGATTTTGCTAAGAGCATGAGAGAAAAAACAGAACACAGCAAAGTAGTGAAACTACAACAGAGATGAGGAACAGAAACAATCAGGCAAACTCTCAGTACAGTCGATTCCTGATAAGTGAATAATCTGATTGCTTGGTCACAATGCTTTATTCACTTATCAGGAATGATTCACACTACATTTTGTTAAACTGTTTTCCTTAGCCTAATACCTAAGAGTCACACTGGGCAAAGGCACACACACTCTGGCAGGCTATTCTTTAATCAGCAAGTCTTGTGACAGTTTGGTAATTTCCCATGGCGATACACATATAGCTAACAAAGAGACATTTTGCTAACGCTGCAAGGTGCCTTACATAATTGAAATTAAAAGCATGCATTTAAGCAGGACAAACTGTTCAGCTGCATTGCTTTAAGGAACTCATTTTTCCCCATTGTTGAAATTACAAAAAAAAAAAAAAAGGAAAAAAAGAAAAAAAAAAAAAAAAGAAAACCTGTCTCTTCTAGCCCTGAGTATTTAAAAGAAACTCAACTATAGCAAAAGTTTTTTTTTGGTTGTGTTTTTTGGGAGAAGAGCCCCTTGCAGATCTCTAATTTCTTCCCTAAAATCATTGAGTTTGGGAAAAAAAACACAAAAACATCCACAACAACAACAAAAATCCCAGAGACCAACTCTGATTTATCATTCATGCAAGTCCAGGCTTAACTTAATCAACTGGCATCAACATAATCAGAACCAGGATCACGAAATCTAGAGGTGTAGAAGACTCAGGACACAGCTTGACCATCAGGTTCTCTCTACAGGCCTCTGTGGTTTTGGATTAAACCTAGGGCTGCAGGGAAGGTGTTTACTTGGACCCCTGAGAACAGGACCTACAGGACAACACTGGAGCTTGTTTGGGATGCCCTAAGGGACATGGCTTGGTGATGGGACTCAGTAGGTCAGGCTGATGGTTGGGCTTGATGATCTCGGAGGTCTTTTCCAACCTAGAAGGTTCTATGCCAGACTCATCACCTCTATACCTTCTGTGGAAAAGTTTTCTTAAAAAAAACAACTGCCAACCTTAAAAGGAAATAAAAAATAGTTCTAGCAATATCAACCAGGCCAGCTCACGAGCCACCCAAAAATTCCAAAACTCTTCCAAACACAGCAGTCAAGGTCATGGCTGCAAACCGCAGAGCACCCAGCGCCATGCCCCGTGCCTGGGGCTGTGTGTGTGTGAGCCAGAGCCAGCGTGCCAGAGGGACCAGGGGACAGGAGACACGAGGAAGGAGTCCATTGGGTCTCATAAGAGCACTTTTAAGTGGTCTTCGATTCCTGAGCATCACAGAAAATGGGACAAAGGAAAGGGAGGTGGGCATATGGCTTGAATTCCAGAGAGCACTTGCCAGTGCTTCTCTCTCCTCCTTGGGTTTGGTTTTTGTTATTGGTTTGTTTTTTTTTTTTTTTAAATATATATATTTTTATTTTTATTTTTTTTCCCCTCTCCAAATTATAAAGTTTGTGATCAGACAGAGGAGAGAAGAGAGACTTTGTAAACCAGAACAACAGAGAATTTTTCGTGTCTTTTATTTCATCATGACGGATGTGGGGAAGAGCAGAGAGATTCTTGTGAGGAAAAAAATTATAAGAAATGAAAAAGTAAAATAAAAAAGCTGAAAGCCAACTTTACAAAAAAAAAAAAAAAAAAAGTGCTATGGTATTTTATTTGTTCCTTTTTGAGATTTGTGTAATACTATTAGCCAGTGCTGAGAATGAGCTGCTCTGTAAGCCCACAGCAAAAACATCACCTGTTTGAACAACAGGAGAATTTTTTTTCCCAGAGTTTTGTTTTGTTTTGTTTATTTTTCTCCCACTGGCTTTAACAGAGTCTCTCTGTGCTCACTTGAATTTTATTTTTTAAATTATGATATGTGTAACTGCACGTAACAAGTTTGTTCACCTGGTAGGCTTCTGCAGGCTCTCACAGCCCTAGTTAAGATGTGATTAGTTGCTAAGGAGTTTGACTAACACCATATGCCATCAGATTACTGTGCAGTTCGGAAGAAATCCCAAGGCTACATTCTCCTTTTCTTGAATGTTTCATACGCTTCTGCGAAGCGGCGGCACAGTATTTTTTCTGAGCGACTAGGAAGAATTGATCTCCATAATCCGCATTTTGCAGACTGACTGGCACGTTGGCAAAAAGCTTTTCACATGGCTTCTGATTTCTCTGTGTGTTTGTGTGCATAAGCTTTTACAGTTAGAAGGCTCACAAAAGCTATCTTCCGTATGACTTTGCAGGAAACTCATTTAAGATGCTTCCTGCTCAGATTATCCAAGTGATAAGGCATGACTAGGGGGAGGGAGAGAGAGAAGAAAATCAAAGAAACCGTAACATGGCTAAAATGTACAAATCCTCTTTTGCCCCCCAATCAGATATTCACTTAGGTGGAATCGACTGTATCTTTTGTACACAACCAACAAAGAGAGGAAAAAAAAAAAAAAAAAAAAACAGGAACGTGAAACACGTGAGGTGTGTAGATGTATTACCAACACATAATGACCACCAACAATACGAGACACAAAGTAGAGAGACAAGTATTAGGAAAATGGTTTAATATTGGAGACAGAAGCAAAAAACTGCATCACACAATAACATACGTTACAAAAATAAGTCTGACTGTTTCAACTACACGGTTATGTTCACAATGAGGACAGAAGAATCAGAAAAAACTCTGATCTAAACAGCAAAAAAGCAAACCCCTAACGCTTTAACTAATACATTTATCCACGCAAAGTGACCGAGTACTCCTAATTCTAATTACCTTATTGTGTAACTGCACAATACAGAATAAAAAGTGAAACTTACCGCTTTTGTTAAGACAAAATTCTAAACACTAGATATAAGCAAAGGGAAAAAAAGAAACCAAGCCAAAGTTTTTAATTCTCTAAACAAAACCAACTCTCTTTCTACCATCCAGAAATCAAACTTGAAAATCAGTCATGATCGAGGGGGCCCACGAGAGTAAGCCACAAAAATTTCCATTTGTTTTTTAATCTCCAGTATAAAAAGTTCCACTGGTACAAAATGCGTTAAGTACAATCAGGTTGTAGAAATAGGAAAGCTTGCTTTTTTTTTCTTTTTCTTTTTTTTCTTTTTTTTTTTTTTTGGCTCAAATTCCATCAAACAACAAAATTCAAATGCATCAATAAAACAGAAACAATACTCAAATGGTCTTACAGTTTCCACTAGATTGCATTAACTTTGGCTTTTCTCAGACAATACTTAAAAACTAGTTTGTAATTCTAAACAAAATGATAATATTATTAATCTACAAACAACAATTCTCACAGCACAAAAAAAACACAAATACATAGTTTTTTCTTTTTTTTTCTTTTTTTTTTTTTCTTCTTTTTTTTCTTTTTGTATGACATTATCCAAAAAGGTAATGAAACTACAGGATATTTTTTCCTTTTGTTAATTAGCACTTAAGATAATAAAAACAGAAACAGTAAAATGATTCCAGAGTAGCACAAGCCAAGGAACTGTAACCCCTATGGTGAAAGAAAGATGAACTTGTTACTCCTTTGAGGACTGCCATTTCATTGCAATTAGCTAATTTGTTTGAAAAAAAGCAACTAGTCTAGTCTTCTGATTAGAATTTTGTAAAGCAATTTCCCTTGTTTTTCTTCCTCTCTTATTAGGCCCTTGCACCCTTGCAGCTTTTTCCATTCAATATTTTCTAAGAGAACTGGTAGATAATTTGTCTCCAAGGAGGTGTATGTTTGGGCTCTCATTTTTGTACCTGATTTTTTGAAAAAAATAAAATAAAAATAAATATTTCAATATGGACCCATCTCACTTGTCTGGAAATACTGAACCGTCCTTCCTCTCCCACTGCTAAGCCAATATCTCACGTAGTATAATTTGGGGCACCTGCCTGGGTCTGCAGCCAATGCCGAGTTACACTGCCCGAGGACCAGAGATGTCACCGCTCTCAGCGGACCGGTAAACCTGCAGGACACACTGGGGCATCTAACAAAGCTTTGGAAATTTATACGATGGGTACAATGAGGAAGAATTAGTGAAACAGTCTGAACAATCCAAATGATGATCTCATATTATATATATATGAACATATATATAATATAACGTACGTGAGATGATACTTTGAATATGCAAAATTGCTGCAAGTAGTACAAAATAGCCCTCAAAGGGTGTAGGAAGGCCCCAGCAGTAGTAAAAACATGTGAGAAAAGTATAGATCATTTATTTATAAGTGCATGTGCTATAAGAAGGAAACTTTTTTGCATCACTAGAGGCTAGTCCTTTCCATCCCAGGGCTCTACATAAAGAAGCATTTAAGTTGGGGATGAGAGACAAGAGTGCACCAGCTGATATTGTTCATATAGGGCTTTGTTTTTAAATTGAGATGGCATTGAATATAATCAGATAGAGCTAGGAAGAAGGCATGGCACTTTATCATCAGTAGCAGGTGCTGCTGTTCACACACATTGGATTGGCAACGAATTCGCTATACCGGTAGCAAAGAACCGAATTTGGTTGTTGGTCACTACTCGTGCGGTAGAAATCTTATGAGACTTACAAGGCCGTGAAAGGGCAACCAGCATCTCTTTTCTGGTTCCTTACACACAGCTTCCTCCAGCAAACACCCACATCAGTCACAACTGTATTCCCACGGACTACTGGACGAGTAAAGTTACTCCTCTCTATACGAGTGTCTGCAGGAGCAAGCCGATACATCGCCGTTACAGGTAATGGCAGGTACCATCAAACATTACAGTGTATGTAAACTTTATCCATAAAAAGTAGTTTAACTGCAGTGCACGCTGAATTTTCACCCAGGAAGATCTAGTGCATCTGATTTAAGCAAAAGTTCATTTATTTAAATTACAAAAATATTATTATTATTTTTTTTCTCCTCAAGGTTTTCAAATGGTGGATTTACCACTCCTTTCTGGGAGCGGTTCACACAATAGATAATTAAAGAATTGTTTTATTTTTCTTTTACTTTATTAATACTGAATAGCATATTCCAGCAGCATATTAAAAGCTCTTTAAGAAAAGACAAAATCCCCAAAATCTAAAAAGGAAAACCACAAGTTAATTATCGTTTTAAATAATTTTAGTTATAGATACAGAAGAAATTTAGACAGCAGTAAAATAATTTTGTCCTTCAGATCTGCCCTGTGCATTGTTCTGATTTCAACCATGTATTAAATAAACCACAAAAAACTAAGTATATATATATTTATAGATATATATATATATATAAAAATAAACAGCAAAATGGTGAATGTATAAAAGGTATTAACACTCAAGACAGCTCTGGGTGGAAAGGGTTAAAAGTTCAAAACTTTCTCACCTTAGAGGTTTCCATACAATATGAAGAAAATACATTGTGAGGTTTGCTTTCACAGCATTGATGTGTGCAGAGTGGTTAAAAAAGTGAAACATGGGCACTTATACAATGTTTTACAAAAAACATCAAAGAGAAATAACAAACAATAACAATTTCAGGCAACAAGACCACAGGATAGCAAGTTAACAAACTTTTTAACCTCTTTTTTCTTTAAATATTAGGGATTTATACAAAACACATAATAAAATACCCATGTTATCAAATTACTTCACACAAGAAACACACTGAAGCTCTAGGAAGAAAGTACCTTTGGAATTTGGCACTATAGTTTCACTGATTTTTTTTTTCTTTAAAAGAAAAACCGATCACATTTTGCTGAACACAAACACATCTAAATTGTTCACAATAAAAAAATGACATCAATGCGTCACAAGCCAACACAAACTTATTCTGGAATACTTTTTAATTTTTTTTTTCACATGAAATTCTTTTTTTTTTTAAGCAAACAACTTTTTTTTTTTGTTTTTTTTTTTGTTTTTTTTTGAATCTCGTTTTTGTTCTCCTTCTTCAAGTAAACCAATTTTAAACTCGTCTTTTATAAACATAGAACACTTAAGACCATAAGACTCATGATGAAACCACAACTTAATTCACAGAAGCACCAACGTAACACATTTTACAGTAACCTTTCTTCTGTACATTGAAACAGTATAAAATATAGGTAATTTCATGTGCATTAAACCATGGATTGTCTAACTGTGAGTCAGTTCAGCAAAAGGTGACACAAGTAGGTAGCATTTGCCCTAAAACAGGGTAAATATTTTCTTATACTAATCTACAAAAAGTGGTTCTATATATATACTTTAATGAGAAAGTGAGCCACCTAAAATGGCCTTATCAAAAAACTTTACACTGCCTGAAAAATGTAAAAACTATTACAGACCTCTAGAGACTTAAAATCAGACAGTTTTATTTCTCAAACTGTTTTGGAAGTAGTCTGTTAGAAACCAACATTCTGTGCCTCTGGACACATATTGCTATTGTCACCAGTGACCAGGCAGAATGCCAATCCCTGTATAATACTTTCAAGTCTGTTTTTTTATTTTATTTTATTTTTTTACGAAATGAAAACAAAAACAAAAAACAAAAAACAAAAGAAAACGAAACCCAGAGGAAAAAGAAAAACAAAAAAAACAAAAAAAACAAAAAAAAAGAAAGAAAGAAAGAAAGAAAAAACATTTTGCCACAGGTTGTCTTTAAATCCTATCATTAATTTATCTAATAATAAATTTCAGTCTTGCATGAATGCAGCAATGTTTTTTCACATTGACTTCCCAGAATTCATAGCTAGATGAGGTCACATGCAAATTTCAAAGGTCAAACTAGATCAAAGGTCAGTAGGAGAACCAAATATGATGTGAGGTCAGAAAGACATCAGAAACAATGACGGGACGATGAAACTTTTTTTTTTTTGAGACGCCACAGGGACATGCTAGGCAAACGATGGGCTAACGGGCATGGAGATGTCTAGGGAAAAAACAAGGAAGAGGAAAAAAGTTACACAGAATCTATGCAGCACAAACAAAATCACTTTTATGGGTGCACGAGAAAACTAATGCAAATCTTTTATCAGTAGAGTAGAGTCTATGAGCTGTTCACACAATTTGCATTAACTTACAATACTTGTCAACAACAGCACAATGGAACCCCAAAAGAATCCATCTGAGAGGAGTCAGAGAGAATGGATTCATCTTTGGGGAGAAAGGAGAGGAAAGAACCAGCTTCTACAAACGTAACATAAAGGTAAGGGGAGGGAAAAAAAGGGCCAGACGACTGAACTTTAAACTAGGTAATGGAAACTACGAACAAAATAACCAGACAAATACAAACAAGAGGATAAAAGCATGAACTGTAAAGGGTGTAGGGTTCAACAATGAAAAAGCGCCCATTCTTGGCACAATTACTCTAGAGACTACTTCAAAGGATCTAGCTAGCATAGAGAGCTGCTCTTTAGGTATCCAATAAGTTAACAATAGGCAATAAATAACTTCCATTATTTCTGAGGCAGTAAAAATTTTGTATAAAAATAGAAATGCTTTTTACAAATAAAATTTACAGGCCTGTGGCTTTCTTTTTTATTATTATTAAATTTATCTCTCAAGAAACATCAAGTATTGTCACTCATTTTATTTTATTTTTTTTTTATTTTAAACCCTGTAGCTTTAGAAACAGATCTCTAAATCTTTTTTACATTAATCCTTTCCAAAAAAAAACAAGAACTTAAAAAAAAAGTGAAATATAAAGACCAGTGTAAAATCAGACTAATATATAACAATACATTGTTTTGAACTGAGAAAAAAAAAAAATCAAATCTTCTCAAAAAACAAGTTGATGTAGTGGAAAGACTTGTTTCAAATTTTTTGTTGCAAAATAAGTGCTTCAACTGGCAGGAGGCCATTTTCTTTAACCTATAAACTGCTGGTGCCACCCTGGTAAAATAGGATCCATCCATAGAAAACAACTTTTATTGTGTGCTAATGGCACCAGGGTTCACAGAGTTAAATTGCACATTTTTTGAGAGAGTGTGTGTGTGTGTTGCTTTGAATTTCAAGACGTTTGTTTTTTAAAAAGGAGATAAATTATGCTGCAAAACAAAATACAGTAACACAACTCACTAATTACTTGGCGAGGAAATGTGAGCCAAGTGTAATAAGGACAAGTGGGGAAATGGAAGTGGTAACTGTAAAAATAACTGTCTCTTGATGAAGGTTGGCTATATGTTCTCTCTTAACCCCCCTGCAGAGGACAGGTTTGCTCATGGGACTTACCCTAAGAAAGCTAAAATAAGAGCAGTAAGCATCTGGGGTTAAGATCAGTAAGGTTTGCTGTCATTTTTGGAGCGTTTCAGCTGAACCTTCAAGCGTTTCATGCCAATCTGAAAGCCGTTCATAGCCTGGATAGCAGCTTGTGCAGAGACTGGATTGTCATAGCTAACAAAACCTATGAGACACAGAACGGAGGCGGGAGAGAAAGCGAACTGTAGGTTAGAACAAATTTCAGAAGGCTTTTGTTAGGATTTTATTATTGTTATTTGTTTGACACATTTATCTCTCTTTATTTAGTTGGTCACAGTTTATATCCCACTACCTTTCTCTTTTCCTTCTCCTTTACCTTTACAATATTTGTTTTCTACTTGGGATGTGGTTGTCCAGTTTTGGTGCAATGCAGTTTCCCAATCTGTTTTTTTTTTAATATACCTACCTTAGAGACTGTAGATATTTATCACTGTAATACTTTTCACTGTGATATCTACATACATCCCGGTCTATTAGCCCAATCTGCTGATGTGAAGCTGAAACAGAATACCTTGTTACAAAACCAAAACCCAAACTTGGATGCCTGTGTGCATTTGCACCTCTGAATGTAAGATCATGAGCACTGGTCCTGGGTGGTATTAAACAACCATCTCCTTGGGCCCAGCCTGGGACAGTTGCAATATTAATATTTTGTATTTTTGCAGCTCCTTCCTGTTCAAGACCTCAAGGTACATTAAATGTTTATTAATTCAGCCTCTTGGTCCCAAAAGGGGCATGCAAGGATCGAAATTAAGCAACATCATAAAGACGATGGCAGGGCTTCATGAGAACTTCAGATCTTCTGCTCCTGAGTTGCTAGCACTAACTAGGGGGGATAATGCTTGCTCAGGTAATTCAGAATGGCTGGCCTGGCTCAGCTTTCTTTTCCCTGCGAGACTCGAAAAGCTCTGTTCATAATGGACTCAAATCTCCCTGATTCAGGAAGCCCAAAATTCATTTTCATATCTGGGCCTCCCACTTGTAATTGCAAGGCTCGCCTAACTGCTGCTCTGTCTCTGCTCTGGCTAATTACTACTGCATTCCAGCCCACTATTATGCACACACTTTGCAATGCTCCCTCTTCTTTCCACTCGAATTTGCCTTAATATACATCACTTCAGTCTGTTAAAGCTGCCTCCCATACACTTTGTTTTCAATACTTCTCAGCTGCTCTCTTCTATCAGCTTTCTTCATTTATGCTTAGTGCCTGCATCCTTTTCTGATTTAAAACCTCTTATTACCATCATTTTAACCTGCTCCTTTATGACTCTTACTTAACTCGCACTGCTGCCCTCTTTCTTCTTCAGTGTCAGAGTGATACCTTCCCTCATTGTAAAGAAAAGAACCCCACTTAACAAGTGATTTGGTCCCTGTCTGCCCTCCCTCCTTCACGGACCTTCCCTCTAGTTCACCTTAAATCACCTTCACCAAACTATTTACTTACGATTCTTCTCTGATAATCCAGGTTCACATCTGCTTATTCCACTAAAAAAAAACTTATCACTTAAATCTCTGTAAACCCTCTCCTGGCCAAAGCCAACACAATTGCTTCAGGTGGTTGATTAGTCATCAACTTCTTAAGAGATAATAAATGTTCCCTGTTACCTTCCTTGGTTCTAGTAACTTGTCACTTCCTCATTTTCTTCCCTTGATCATTTCCTCTTAATATTACTGCCTTATCCTGAAGAGCTTAACCACTTTCTTCTTTTCTTCTAGAAAATCTTCTAGGAGATCTTATCTATCCACATGACTCTAATCGCTGTCTTAGCACTGCACTCTTTTGTCTAATTCCATCAGCTCACAGACCTCAAGCACTAGAATTTCCTTAGGAACAGAAGACATAGCTATCATGAGTTGAAAGGCAGCTGTAGCACATTCCAGGCAGATATTCCATAACCAAAGTGTAGCTACTCTTACCTTCCTTGACACTTCAGCAGTTTCCTCTACAGCCTTCCTGACCTTCATGTTCTCTTAAGAGCAATCAGAATGGTCTTTAGCTACAAAATTCTCATTATCTTAGTTCCTTTTTATCTTAGCTAGTCTTAGTGACCTGAAAGTTAAGCAACTGATCTAAACTAGTCATCAGGTGGCATCTATGAATTGGGAATAAAGAAAAGTGAGTACACCCAGAGGTGGCTTTTCTTCCCACTGTTTATGCCATGAAATGAGACACTCCTCTTTTGACAGAAGAACAATAATCTCAGGCTATCCTTACCTTCCAGAGGGATGTAATAAGGCACTTCATTCAATGTCTGTTTAATAGTTTCCTTGACACAGTCACAAATTCAAATATACATCCTCTGTGCTGCACCAGTGGAATCAGCCTTTATCATTCAATTGTTATTCTGATTCACAATTTGTCTCTGTACATAGAATGCTATATCTACATTAGCCTGTTACACTTTCATCTTGTCCCTTATCATCAACCTTCACTTCTAAAGCTTGTGGAGGAGTCTGGCATTCTCTCCCTTTATTTATCTGTTTCTGATTGCAACCGTTCATCATTTTTTTTTTTTTTTTGGTCTGAAACTTAAATTGCAGGTTACATGGGGATTATGTTCCTTATCAATTTTCAAAGCATATGTCACGATGATCCTGATTTTTGTTTTAAATCTCTTGGTACCTTTGTAACCAGGATAAATATTTTTAATCATTTGAGTAGCGATTTTGCTGTGTGGCAGACTGAATTTACACATGGATGTCACCGGATCCCTTCTCCCCTGCCTTTTACATTTTCTCATTTCTGTTATTGTAAGATTTATGAAAAATGAGAAGGCTGGAGAGTGAAACCTTTTGTCTGCAGAATCAGCTAGAGCTCATGAGAGTTCACGGAAGAGTACTTTCAGGGGTAGAGGGACTGTCCTGTCATTCTCATCACTATTTAATCTCTTGAGCATCCATTTGAGCTGGACAAGAAAGCAAATAATACCAAAGCTCATTTTCTGCAAAGAAAAGTAATTTTTCATTTTGTGAGGCAGTGTTACATAAAAGCTTATTATCACTACTCCAAGATTCACTTGGAATGTACCTTCTCTTTCCAATTCTACCAATGGATGGCCTTGGGCAATCTTTTCACCATTGTAGTGCTCACTCTGTTCTCTGTAATTTGTCTTCCAAAAAGTCCCCAACCATACCAGCTGAACAAAAAAGAATCAAGCCCAAACTGCACTAGGAGCAATGGCCATTACGAGTCAGAAATGGGTAATTCAGATGCACTATTGTGCCAGTTTTTGGGTGAGGGTATAAGGAGAGAGGAAAAAAAAGCTTTTGAAATACAAATATGGGGTTGAGACGACAAAGAGATGAGGTGATTCTCGCTTAGTAAAACTGGGCCAATGGATACAGTATGCTAAACTCGCAGGATTAATTCTGGCCTGTGACTAGGAGTATCACACGGGTAGTCACCTACTGAATCTGAGCATCTCAACCTCCTCTGCCAGCACAGTACTTTTTGCTTTTAAAGCAGAACTCTCTCGCTAGTGGCAGAATATCTGGGGAAGGAAGAATGAGGAATTGCAATGTTAGTGAAACTTGACTAATGCCTAAAAGACAGAGGACTGCTCCATCCATTGGGTGTTGACCCCTCTGTTTTCCCTCAAACAAGATTGCCTCAGTTCATCATTCTAAGTAAGGTAATTGTGTCCCATAAATCCAGATGAATGTGTAGGTAGGTAATCAAACAGTAAAAAGAAACTCACAAAAACCTAGTATGGGAAGCAAGTTGATGAATTGAGCTGCCTGTTCAAACTAATCTACATTTTTTCATTAGTGATCACAATTGCTGCGTTTCGATTAACACAGCTTGATTTGACATTTCATCAAGATTCGTGGAGACCTCAACAATGATTTTGTCACCCCAACATACTAACTGAACTGGTTCCAGATCAATAGGGAGTCATTTTCAATTCCACTTTTCAAATTTGCTATAGCCTCAGGGACTGTTTTAACCCACTGCAGAAATACACTGGACTATATTAGTCTAAATACGAACAATTTCTTGTAAAGCATAAACAGGGACCAAAAAATATATGGGAAAATGCAGAAAGAATGTTGCACCCTTTCTCTAAAGTGAATTACTTTCCAGGTGTACTAAGGATTTGTCTTTAGGTGAAAAACACTCAGATTGTGGTATGACTTGAATTCTAGTGCAGTAGGTATTTCTGAGTAGTGCGATAACTGCTGCTCTTGTTTGGGTATTGTGTGTTTAGATAAATTCATCTCCTTCCAAAATGGTTTAAAGACCAACAGCTGCTCCTGAATGGCCCTTGTGTAGACAAAACCTTTGACAGACACATTTTAACAGAACGTAGATATAAAAATGTAATGATAGGCAAGCTAAGAAACACATATTATGGTTAACGGGGAAGCCTGAAAATTAAGGAATGGTGCTGTGCAAAGAGTAACAGCGCCAGTACAAAGGAGTTTTTGAAAATAAAGGGACTGTCATGACTAATTTATCATATATGCAGTTGTTTTTCTATGCTCTCTGGGAAAGAGCTGTCATTTTTCTGGAAACTCCAGTATTTTGGGTCAAACCTTCACACATTTTTCTTTCAGCGATTCTGTCCTCCTCCCATGCTCTCTTCATGCCTTGCATTGGAATCACAGTTATTAGACTGCAGTCTAACTAATTACCACTAGCTAACATTCTGTTTTCCACTCTATCAAGTCACTAAACTGGTGCACCTATGTCATTCAAAGGACATCTGCCCACCTGACTAACCCTAGAATTTGTTTTATAACAACCAAAACATCATCTTTTCCTCCACTGCAATCTAGCTTTCTGCTAGCTCAGAGCATTCCTTAGGAAACTTGACACTGATCAGTCGATGCTGCCTTCATCCCTGCCCTAAGGTAAGGGCATATACTGCCCTTCATAATGCATTGGCACCTGCCCAAAGCAGTTATAGCTGCATATCTAGACACCAACTGCCAGTAACGTGTTCTGAACTACATGTGCAAGCCATTCAAGCACTAATTGCACAATCTTGTACTTAATTCAGAAGAAAGAAATTCCTGTAATGTAGAAGTAATGGGTTAAACATAGAGCATTCTTAAGTGGCTCAGCTATACAATAGAGAATAATTAGTTATCCATAATAAGGCAGCTTAATAGTATACTAAATGACATTCCCCCACATAGGGTGTAATTAGTTTCATGTACTTGACACATTTATGCGAGATGTCAGACTGGAAGATTATTATTGTTTTTTCACATCCAATTTTTAGTTAGAACTAGTTTGCCTGTGCATCCTTCCACTCACTTGAGGATTAGGAGTCCATTATTTTGGGAATGAGATTCCAGTATGACATTTCTCACACTGCTGTTAATTTTCTTTCCTGACCCCTTTTCAATGCAGTGCATGTGGTTCTTACTATTTAATTTATTAAATTTGACATACCAAAGCACTTGCTCAGATTGGTCTGTTTGTCAATGAAGACTTTAGCAGAGATAACATTTCCAAAAGGCATGAACATCTGCAGAATGTCCTGGTCTCCAAATTCCTGGGGGAGGTGGTAAATAAAGAGGTTTGCCCCTTCTGGACCTTTAGGAAAACAAACAAATAAAAAAGTCTGAAAATGGCTATTACCAGTGCTACATTTAATCTGTTTTTCCATAGTACTTACTGAAGGTGATGGTCAGAAAGCATTTCACTTTGCAACTCCGAAGGAAGAAAAGTAAGTGGATCATCAAAGGAATAGAGCTGAAATGGAGCTCTTTAGAGCATCCTATCTTGCAAAGTGTTCACTCGATACCTCTACTACAAAAGAAGTTAAACTGCAGGCTCTTTCTTCAATTTACTCAAGTGTCTTTCAGTAAAATTAGGGTTAGGAAAGCAGGTACGCAATGTATTACTCTCTCACAATACTCCAAGATCTGCACAAAGAGCCCCCTGCTGCCTCAAACACCTACATGGGTTTGTTGGTTTAATTCTCCGTTGCAGGAATTTAGGGAAACACAACCAGCTGAGCTCAGGTTGGAGCCTCCCAGATTTATACTAAAAGGGCAGGAAGTTGGTGGCAATGGGAACAGAAAGGGTAAGAAAAAGCAAACGTTTTGACTTGGAAATCATGGAAGTCAGAGAGAGAAAGAAGCTAAGAACTAAAGAGCTTGCCCTTTTTAAAAATACGAATACTCCTGACAAAGCTCTATCTCCTGGAAAAAGCTCCATAAAATAATTATTTTTAATAAGTTCAACCTGAAGTTGCTGGGTTGAGATTAAAGTGGCTTTATACAAATTGAGGTTGAAAAGAAAGGTACAGGAAAGGTGCTTTTGAATATTTTTCTTATAGCCTATGTCTGAGATACATGTTATCCGTGCTATTGGTTTAAGCATGCCCCATAGCAATAAATGTGTTATTTTTTATTTATTCTCAGTTCAGTTTTTCTTTTATAGGCATATGCTGGGAATGAGCCATTAATGTGACCTATGATGCAATCAGACACGTGGCCCTCCCACACAGTGGAAGCACAAGAAAACAAACATTTCTGTTAAAAACATGTATAAAGTAACTCAAATATTCCCTTGCTTAATGGAACCTAAGTGTGTATATGGTGGGATGTCTCTGGTTTCAAGATTGGAGCTAGAAGCACACACTGCATTCATGGAATACCTTCAGCAGCAGTCACTGAAGACCCACCTCTCACAACAGAAGAACCAGGCCGCTGCACTCTGTCAGCCTGAAGTAAAAGGCTGCAGTATTTGCCCAGAGCAAGATTTAAATGGCTTATAAAAAATATTTTTCAAAAAGAAAAAAATTTTGTTGGTGGTGGTGGAAGAAAAGAGGGAGAAAGAATTTTACCTGCACCTTATTTCTTCTGACATAAAATAAATTATAATTACAAAAAAACTTTCTTTTTTTTTTGTTTTTACAATATTATTTAAAAATATTACTATTTTTTAAATAGCAAGCAAAACTTGTTCAGCAAGCAAAACTTGTTCGACAATGGTGTACAGCATGTGCACGAGGCAGCTCACTGTGCTTCAGCACTGAGTACTGATACCGTATTTTGCTTTGGTATCTTGTTATCCTTGACCACTCTTCACTGTGCCATGAGAAATCATGGTAAGAAGTAAAACAGAGTTGTCAGTATTCAAAGATGGAATTTATTCACTTCAACTTAACCCGTTACTTACAAAAACAAGGCATAACAGAGCAGGCTGTGTTTTTAAAAAGACACTGTCAATTCAAAAAGAAAACACAACACAGACTTGATAGCTCATATACTGACAAAAACAAACAGAAGAAAATCAAACTGTCCTTCAGTGAATATCTTAGAATGACACCAGATAAACAATATCTGGTGTCAAACAGTCCATTGTCACAGGCCAATGTGAGTGAGATGAAGGACAAGAGCACAGAACACAACAAAATTTGGAAAAAAAAATAATAAACCAACATAAAGCTTCCATTTACTACAATCCAAGCTTTTAGCAGTAAAAGAAACAACAAATTTAGAGAAAATATTCATTTTAACTCCACAGTGTCTTCATATAACAACCAGCTGTGGGAATGCTGAATTTATCTTCCTAGGAAACACCACATCCCATAACAGCGTAAGATACGATATTAAATGAGGATAAAAATCTTTCTCTTGAGGATATTACAGTGGGTTTATTTCCAAAGCTTATCTCTGGCAAGAGCAGTAGTGGGAACACAGATACAATCTTAGAAAGCATGCAATATTTTCCTGTCCTTCTAGAATTAGCTGGAATTTTGGATGAGAGAAGGGAAAGCAATGAAAACAGAAACAAAACCCCAAAATGCCTGAGTACAGGAGAATGAAAGAGGGGAAAAGGGTAACCTCATGTTACTAAACATTTAGTAATTACTATTCATTCATTCTTAGCAGCAAACTCCTGAGGTTTGTTTTGCTCTACTGGTGCAGGGAGAGGGACAATCACTCCCTTAAGTTGCATCCCTGCAAAACCCAGAATTAAGCAAAGAACCACTTAAAGCAAAGTCAGATCTGACTCAGAAAACTTAAACCTAATCAGATTAAATCCATTATTACGGAAAATGGAAACCAGTGCAGAGTGTGAGTACCTCTCACACCTGTAAAGGGATGAATTTTGCTACTGATGCCTTTTTATGCAGCAGAGCTTTTAGAGCAGAACTGTCAGTAAGGCATGGCTGGAAGGAGAGATGGTAAAAAAGAAAAGAGAATTACAGTAGAAATTGAAAAAATGAAAAACACTAATCAGGGCAGGAGAAAGTGTAAACTTCAAAGACAAGGCTATCTGAGATCTTTTGTTGCTTTCTGAGATCTTTTTGTTGAGCCACTGTGAAGAAATAAACCCAAGGCATGGCTGTGGGAATGCTAGGCTGTCTCAGAATCATAGAACCATACAAACATAGACTGGCTTAGGTTGGAAGGCACCTTAAAGATCATCTTGTTCCAACACCCACCAGCTCAGACTGCCCAGGGCCCCATCCAACCTGGCCTTGAGCACCTCCAGGAATGGGGCATCCGCAGCCTGTCTGGTCAGCCTCAGTTCAAGCACCTCACCACTCTCAATTACCTATTATGTTTACCAATTGTCCTATCACTGTCAGATTGTGTAAAAAATTGGTCTCCTTCCTGGAAGGCCACAATGAGGTCTCCACTGAGCCTTCTTTTCTCCAGGCTGAACTAGCCCAGCTTCCTCAGTTTGTCTTCAAAGGAGAAATGCTCCAGTCCCCTGAGCATCCTCATGGCCTCATCTGGACCGACATCAACAGCTCCATGTTTTTCTTGTCTTTGGGGCCCCATCAGTCCAGATGAGGCTCATAAGGGCAGAGTAAAGGGGACCATTCCCCTCCCTCTCCTTGATGGCCTCCCCGCATCCTCTGTTGATGCAGTCTGGGACATTTTTGGCCTTGTGGGTCTTCCAGAAAATACCACATGCTTGGTTGAGCATGGCTTACCCTAAAATGGGCAGATGCTTACCTTCCTTCTGGCTGCCCGCGGCGCTTTGCTGCTGCAACAAGCTCTGGCTGTACAAGGTGGGCAGCGCAGCGGCAGCATACTGCTGGATTCCTGAGTAGGCCTGGGTGAGCGCGTCCATTGTGCCGGCCGTACCATTCGTCAAGCCTGTTGCGCCGAGTCCTCCGTTCAGGGCCGCCATACCTGAGAGCATTTGAGCAACTTTACAAAAAACCCAACAATAGAGAAAAGAAATTGCACTTGTTCATTAGTGCTTTCCGAAAGTCGTTGGTATTATATTGACACTGACAAAGACGGCAGTGCATGCAGCTCGGCGTGGCACCAAATGGGACTGAAAACAAAGAAACACGACTTTGGCATCAGGATCACTTCAGCACAATGGTTGCACAGTCAAACAGACTTACATGCAGCCTGCTACTGGCAAGTACTACAGTTCTGTGCCCCCAAGCCCTCTCTGCTCATCAACCTCAACCTTCATGCTTCTTGGGGTGTCCAAGAGCAGGACCCATTCAACCTCCATCTTCGTGAGCTGGCCACTTGGGAAAAAGCATTCTGGGAGAAAACCCACACTCTCTGGACCGGTCTTTATCAAAGGGATATTTGCTCATACCGAGTCAGCACAGAACCCTGATTCACAGCATTTTGAAACAACCATCCACACAGCTCCAGGCTTTCTCTCTTGGATTTCTGGACAGAAGATGGATGGCGATGCTTTGCATTTCCATCCCCCTCTCCCAGCTATACTTGTAAGGGCAGAATGGATGAACAACAGTGTCACTGCAGTGACGGCAAGCGCTTCGCCCAAACCAAGAATCTTTTACAAAGAAACAAAGGTGTTTGGTTCTAGCAATGTGTTTCTTTACTCCTCACTGGAAGCAGAGCCGCCTAATTTTTTTCTTCAAAACGATTCCACATCCTGATAAATAACAGGTTAATTTGACTGGGATGACTGCCAAGGAGGAAATTTCAGACTGGATTGCTAGCTGTGCATAAAATGGCATCCTTCATCCATTCAAACAGCACTATCTGCGAAAGAACTCCTGGACGACAGCCTCTTCTCATTACTTCTGTGCATCCTCATGGCTCTAAGATGAGCCACAACAAAGTTAACAAAATTAACATTTATTTTTTTCAGAAATTCCAGAAAAAATTAATTTTCTCCTTTGGCAGTCAAATGGGTAGCAAGATTCAGAAACCTGCTCATTGCTCACATTCCAACTACTGTCAAACAGAGAGTAAGTGCTCAGCAGGTCAGCAGGTGGCTGAGAGGCCACCTTTCGTGTGCGATTACTACTCTGTGCTCTCCATTTTTTAGGCGAACAGATCACAAACAACTTATTAGGGCTTAATCAGGCCCCTCAAGGCACACTAAAACAGTCACCAGAAAAAATGGGGCACCTGGAACCACCACCAATAGTTTCTTAGTCATTGACTGTGTCCAGTTTCTGTTGGCACAATGACGGGTGGAGATAACTGGTGGAGTTGTACTGGGACCCAAAAGATAGGAATATTGAGAAAAAAAAAAAAGAGGGCTTAACTTCAGAGCAACAATAAAGGGCTTATATGTAAATGGGAAAAAAGTAAGGAAATTATGCAGAGGACACTTTACAGTGAATGAACAATTATATCTATTACATTAGGTAACAATCTTCTTCAAGGAAAGTGGTATAAACCTTATCACATAAGTAATTTGGAGATAGAAAGAATACTGGAGGGAATTATCCTGAATTGACAGAGGAGGATAAAGATGCTGACCTACTAGTTTTCCTCCATCTCTCATGTAGATTCAGGAAGTGTATTCCTACGAGTCTCTGATAATCAGGACAATTGCTCAAGTGGCACCTTTCTGGCTCCACCAGAGTCTGTGCCAATTAAGACAACTGTACTGCATAAATTATACCATTTGATATTACTGTAATTTGTGTGACTAAACACTTGACAGAGATGTGATATTCTTAGCTTTGCTTAATAAAATGTCTTGCACTTTGAAGATTTCTCTTTCCCCTCCACCCCACTTCAGAGCACTGCTGTATCCTGATAGGAGATACTGGCTGCATCTATGAACAAAAATCTCTGTCAGAGCACAGCCAGCTATTCCTTGTCTAATGGTTCCAAATGTGAAACAGAACCTGCAAACCAATGTAGTTTAAGAAACACCTTATATCTAAAAGACAAGATATTTTGAAAATGAAGATTCAAACTAATAACGGTGATGAAGCAATAATTTGATTCTGAGCCTGACTTTAACTTACTCCTTAGATTCCATACTTAATTTGTGTCATTGCTTGCATGTGTACACACAGCACTGATTGATAAAAAAAAAAAAAAACACAACAAAACTTGTATCTCTCCCTTTATTATAGTGTTGAAATAACTTGATAATAGCGGAAGCATTAGGATAACACGTTATCTTGTGTGAGTCATCAGCCTATTAGACAAACACGCTTTGTGTCGCTGTGGGCAGCATCCTCCCCCTTCTTTCACCCAGAATCAATAGCCGCTACCCATCAAATGATTTCAGATCAGCCAGCAGATAGCTCCTGCTCAGCACACTGCTTCTGGGAAGGGCACTTCTACCCAACCGCAGTCTAAATACACTTCCCTCCTGAGCAAAGCAGCTCTGCAGAAAAGTCTCTGTTTTTTTTCTCTTCTCCCTTTTCACACGTTACAAAATCTGCAAGGTCCAGCTGCAGTTACACATTTCTGCCATCTCTCTATATCTACTAATGCACCTCAGACTGATATTAAACTCTAGTCTTTTCCTCGCTTCTGTGAAATAATCATTTTGAGTCTCTCATCCACAGCATTCTACTTTTCTGAGCTACATAACACAGAAATGACAATGCTTGGCGAGTTCTAAGATCTCTCAAAGTGCCTTCCAAGCACCTTCAAATCTGTCACAAATAATTTTACCTCCAATTGACAGATGTAAATACAGGGATAGAAAGGCTAACTGCCCTGGATTCACATACAAATATTCTGTCATAGCTGTCCAACATGCTGAGTCTATGGTCTTCTTTCTTGATTATTTAAATTTACTTTCCTCAAAGGAGACAGCCTTTTTAGATGTTTCAAGCAGAAAAAAGGATGATTGGGTGAATCCCCAAATGTACAAGGGCTGCTCCAAATGTAATGTCTCCTATTTTATTATGTTGGCCAATGACATCAGAGGCAGATGTTGGTGGTACTGCAGTAGGGGTTAAACCTTCCCACCAGTGTTCCATTTTGTTGCTATGTGACAGATGGCAGCAGAGGGGCAGTCTGAGAAAATGGTGTCTGACACAGAAGTGTGTATGAAGCAAAGGCGCAGAACTGAATCCCTCTGTGCAGAAAAAATGGCACTTACTGACATTCATTGACTTGCTGAATGTTTATGGAGATCAAACAGTGGATGTGAGCACAGTAAAGCAGTGGGTGATGTAGATCAGCAGTGGTGACAGTAACATTAAAGACAAGCCATGGTCTATAAGGCCAAGCACAGCTGTTACACTACAAAATGAAGAGTGTTTTGATCAGCTTGTCTGCATGGATTGGCTATGGTGGTGACTGTTGAAAAACTGTGTGTAGCTGAGAATTTTGTCTTTGAAATAGTGTGACTGTGTTTTCTTTATCTGTTGTAGTTCCCGTGGAAAAAGATAAAAGGCATTTCTTTTGGAGCAACCCATGTATGCACAACTGTTGCTGATCCTTGGAGACATCTGAGTCACCATATTCCACTTTTAGTTTTACGACCTCAGATATGTTTCTACAATGCTTCTCTCTACAGTGTGAGCACTACCGGTTTCCAGAGCTCAGCCTGATTTCCACAGACCCAGAAAGCAGACCAAGTCCCCTTGTGAACTTAGCCTAGAAGACGTTCTCCTAGTGAATCTTACACACACGGACATGGTTTCAACAGAAGAACATCTCCTTCAAAACATCTGCGTAAATGAACGTGCAAGACCAGTGCGACCTTCTGATTCTTTCTGGGTTTATGCTCAGCTCGACTGGTGCTTTGGTCATTCTCATTAATTCTCCAACCAAAAGCATATCACTGATTTCCAACTTTTCTGCATAATTATTTCAGGAACCTTCATGACAAAACAATGTTTTGCTCTTGACCACAGCATATTGTGAAACATCAGACCCACTGAACTTCTGGTTTCCTGAAGACAGAATGTGAACAACTGGATCAGAAAGGATCACTACGAAAAGCCCTGGCTTATCATTAAAATAGACAGGGGAGGTTGTTAGCACTGGGACAGTGCTTTGCTACTGTCAGTGTCACAAGCAACTGAAACTGATAATCTGTGTTCTCCTGAAAGGAACACATGCCATAACACAGCATATGAGGAAATAGTTTCTCCTCTTTGTATCTCTCTCACAGACTAATATATTTATGTATATAAATAGACAGACATATCCACATGCATTTTTTTATGTACGAGCACTATAAACATAGAAATTCTAGGCACGTACACATTCTGCAATTCATGAAGATTTGGGACTGAAGCCATTGTTGTTATGAGTCTATGGAAGCAATGGTGGCTTCTAACAAGCTAGAATTTAGTACCAGGTTGTGAATACATCATTAATACTTCAAATGGCACATGCAGGTAAATTCGCACACACAACACCTGAACATTCTTGTTGAGAAAATGTGAACTCTTAGCTTGCAGCCTTGCAATAAATGATAAAAGGAGCACAACAGAAGGATTTCCATGTGAAGACAAGAGCTCATAGGTGATTCATTCCTGCTCACTGTTGATGAAGGGAATGTTATCTTGGAGTGCTCTAGTGTGCCTAGGTTCTTAGTATTTGTGGGAGGGAAGCAGTGGGATGCTATATACTGCTCTTGATATTGTGACCTCTTGAAAATGATGTAAAGCACAATGACTGTTTATCAGAGAAAGGACATTTAATGTTTTCTTACTTATGACAGTGTAATTCTCTTATTCAGAGAGCTCATTAGAGGAGATAAGTTAGCTTTTCATGCATGCTATTGTCAGTAGCTTGTTTTAATAGTAAGTTAGAATAAAAAAAAAAAGCTAACATTGGCATTTTGGGACCTAATATACACACTTTTCTTCAATTGTTCTGAAGTCATCTTTTCTATAAGGTTGTTTGTGTGAAATATGCATGTCCTTGCCAGAAGCAAGATCTGTTTTACACAAGGCCCCATGCAATCACTCATCATTGCTACATGGACAGCCATTAGCCCCCTTCCTTCCCAGATCCCAACAATGACAACCAGAGATCACAGAACAAAAGGACTGGGTGAGCAGCCAAATAACAGTAACAGAAAGGACATCATGCAGAGCATCAGAGTGAGCAAGTGATACTGAGGAGGACATCCATTCCTGGGGGCACATTATGATGGGTCATGGACTGTCAATGACTAAGTAGATTCCTTGCATTTCTGAAGGGAATGCAAGGAACAACAGCAACTGAAAAAGGGGACGGGAAAATGCAGCTGAACCAATTTCTTCCATTTCAGGCAAAGGTGAAGTCCTCACAACAAATACTATAAAAAAATTCGTCTTTGGGAAAAAACTTGACCAAGGCTGAGAACAAAGATGTTCTAACAGCTACCACAATCTACCTATCTTGGTATGTCAGGGTTTAAGATGCCATAGGATAGATACTCATGTTCTGGTATTACAGCTGACTAATGTCACTGTTTTCACATACTTGCCAATTAAGTGCCAAAAAGTTGCCCTCATTTTAAAAACAAGTATGCTGCTCTCGTGTCAATTTGATAAGTCCTACAAACTTTATAAAAGAACTACCTCTGTGGCAAGTGTGCCTCTCTTAGCATGATATTTCTGAATGAGGTTTTGTGCACTGATCTGGAATCTTTTCAGACTCCCAGAATGAAGGAGCTTATCCTATGAGCTAGATAACCAGATTCCCTGGTAACATTTCTTTTGCCTTCCATTTGCTTGCAAGAAAAGGAATCTTTTTGCAGGGACCCAAAAGACTTCACTTTGCAGAGCAAATTATGTGAAACTTAAAGACTCCAGAACTGCGTATGTAACATGAATGGAACTAGACCAGCTTAACTGCTTGTGCATATAGATTAAAAATAATTGTATAATCACTTTACAATTGGCAGTTTTTGTGGCAAGATTATTGGGAAAGGCTGTCCACCACAGCAATAAATACTCACTGTTTACGGTACCTGCTAGTGCATTAATATTATTCAGTCCAACGGTGGCTCCAGCCAGTCCTTGGAGAGTACCCAAAGAAGTCAAAGAATTCATGGCTGCACCAGCTGTGGAATTAGCAGTTGATGCAGCCACTAAAAGAAAAAGAAAATAAAGAAGGCAAAATTAAAGCTATGTTTTGGTTACGTTAGTTGATCACAAAACACTTACAATAATGTTAAACGGAACAACAAGACTACTTGCAATAGAGAAAGAAAAAATATCAGACCAATAGACCAACCTTGCTCAAAATGTTACTGTTATGACTGTTCACAGAAAATGTTGATGAGCCTTGAACTGCAAAGTCTGGATCATAAAATTTAGCACTGTGCTATTTGCAAACAGTAACAGTAAGATCGAGTACAGTCACTTTTTCAAAAGTTTGTCAGCCAGGGTAGCATCCCAGGGTGATCACCAACCAGCTGAGATATTGCTGCTTTATAAACATCACTGAAAAAATAGAATTCCTTGTACAAGTTTGTCATACAACAGAATTTTATCGCAGACTCTTCAAGTAAAATTTAAAATCTTCTGTGAGACACTACTCTCCAGTTATGGCTGCAGGACATTGTATGAACACTATTTGAATGTCTGAAGTTTACAAAAAACAAGAATTATGGGACATACACAAAAAGTAACCATTTATTGCAGGCTCTTAGTCTGGTCTATGTATGCAACTAGTCATTTACATGTACGCCATAGATGATACTTTATGCTTCTACCAAAGCTCTGCCAGAGGGAAAGCTGAGGCTCACAGAGATAAAAGGTCTCTGTTGTTATGATGTTGAGACAATTCTGAAGGTGGGAGAGAGATAAATCCATCTAAATCATATGCTTAGGCAGAGAAAGAGACTCAATCTCTTATCTCAGGAAATAAGGCACCGTAGAAATTTCTATCATTTAGGATAGGTGGGATGAATTAGAAAAATGTCCTTCACCTGTAGAAGGGCCTTGAATAGCCTGCATGAATTAAAAAATTAACTTACAGATATATGAAGTTGTATCAGGTAAATCACACTTACAAAAGCTGAGGAAGTAATTAATTTTTTAGCTTGTCTCTAGAGCCCCATGTTAATACACCAATCACAAAGACTTTTTTTTCTTTTTCTTTAAAAATTGCACTTTGTTCTGAAAAATGAACATTCAAAGTCAATGTTTTGTTGGTGAACTATTGCATGCACATCATGTCTACACCGTGTTTTTTTTTGCTCCTACCCATTATGTAGCTGGGAAATGGTTAAGATGACTTCTATCTTGATGCTCTTTGATGCTCTTTTGGGTTGCTGAACACAACAGAATACCCAGTGAACCCTCAAGAAAGTGGAGTACCTACAGTTTGCAGCACCCAGAAAGGAAAAAGAAGCTGAGGCTAAATTTTCAAACACTGTGGGTAAACTTCAAGGGCCTAAACTACAAAGAACTCATCTTTACAACCTCAAGACCCACCAAAGACAAGCCTTCCCCTCTGGGCCTCCAAGTCCAAAGGACTCTCTTGATGAGAGTAAGGAAAGATTTCCTGAGTTTGGAGCACTCCTTGTCCCTACTTTCACCACATCTGCAGTGTTCTCTTGAATAATTTTATATGTTGCAGACAGAAGCAGCTTGGTTGATCAATTACCTTCTACAAAGCAATAAGCCAATAATGTCTCTGATTAAAAAAAAACTTAATCTAAGAAACAAGTGAGAAAACTCTTTTGTTGGATAATGTGAACACCAGCAGAGAAGAGAGAAAAAATCAAAGTGGATGAATGTCAGTGAATTCCCTGTGACCAACACAGCTCTGTGTTTCTGTTCATGTTCATTATCAGATCATTTAAATGAAGCACTTAAATCTGAAGGATCTGATTGGTTATGACTGGGCTGAATTCCATTCATTTCTCTTTCAGAGTATTATATTACTCTTTTATCTTGATGAAACACATATATTTAAGAAATGAGAGAAATGGGGGCTAGCAAATTGCTTGCCTAAAATTACATTAAAGCTCTTGGGGGCAAATAACTCCTGTGAGTGAGAGCCATACGCTTATGGATTGTCAACACATCTGTTGGAGAAGGCAGAAAAATCTGATTAAATCCTCTTGTGTAGCCCAGAGCTCATCGTGATGGTTCTTATCAGGCTCACTGCTCAAACACGTGCCTTGAGGATGGCCAATATCTGGGGCCAACATTTCTTTTTTTCTTTTATTCTTTCCAAGTTTCTCCATTTCATCAGACAAACACAGAGCAGGTGTCTCAGCAATTCTCCCATTTGAAGTTGCAATGCAGATTATCTAGCTTGCCTAAATAATGACTTGGCACATAATGTAAAATACTAGTTGGAGCACTGAAGAACCTTAGAAATCAGCATTTTGTTGTGGCTATCTCTTCTGCTTAGCAGTTATCTGTCTCACAGATCCACTGGTACAATGGTTTTTTTTGCTCTTTGGCCTATTATTTCTTTGAGGAATAAGAAACTGAACAAATTGAGTGGTTTCCATTATCTTATTGAACATGGACTGAACAGAAATAAAAGGAGCTCCATTCATTAGGGCACTTGTACGCGATGGATCTAGCAACTTGTTGGATGAGATATCCTAGGAGACTCCACACCTTCTCCTCTTTTACTGCATCCTGTGCGTATGAAATGAAGACGATGAGCTAAGACATTATGAATGGGACCAAGACTTAGAGAGAGCACAAAATGCTGCAAAAATCAATGGTTGAAGTAATGGTATTCCTTGTCCTCAAAAAACTTATAGGGAGATGAAACAAAGTCTTCGAGACTTTGAAAGTCTTACAAGAGACACGTGGAGGCTTAGGCCAGCTGAAAGTTTTTACCTTATGAACTCCCAGAATATGCTGAAAATCATCTGAAGACAAGGACTATGCCTTTCCGGTCCTTTGCCCTTTTCTACTTACTTTCAACTAAAAGTTTTAATGTCTACTGAACCAAAGGGGAAAAAAAAGAAAAATTACATGCCTTGTGGTAAAGGTAGATGATTGCACTATTATGGGGGAACCTGTATATTTCTCTCACGTCAGCAAAGCTCCTGGGCTCCCAGAACTTGCTCAGACTAATGGCAAAGGAAGTATGATGCACTGCTGGAACAGCATTATTCTATATTTATGGCTTTTAGTTTTCCACATGACAAACACAGATTGGATACCTACAGAATTTATAAATTCATTTTTACCAGGCTCTCCTGGCACCATGTAAATTAAAGGAAAACATTTCACAGCTCTCTCCATCCTCAACACCACCACATAGCTGCTCTGAATTGAATCACTTCACAGTGGTGCTTAATTAAGAGTAGGTATCTCTCCAGCTACACAGACAGCCTGATGTATGGAGCTGTAATGCTGCCAGGAATCACCCTCTTTGTGCTACTGGTGCACCACTATTAAGTGCAACACAGAGGAAAATCAAAACACATAAAAAAGTGCAAATCATAGAATACCATACATAGAATACCCTGAGTTGGAAGGGACCCATAAGGATCAAGTTCAATTTCTATGACTTAGGCTTCTGGAATCCCTCTGTATGGCATGCTTTTTTTCCACAACATTTGCTATATTATTTTTCTCTTCATACTGGCAATTTTATAGTTGCCTCCTTAAACCTATATGTGGCAGGGTGACGTAGGGCTGCGTTAAGTGAATTACACGATACTGAAGTTAGGGGGAGAGATTCAGCCTGATGATTATACAGTAGCTGCATATACAAAAGGCAGAGAAGAACAGAGCTGCTTTTTATCTGCTGCACCTACCCCTCCCTAACAATTTTAAGCCTTGGATAAACATCAGAACATAACAGATAAGATTTTGTCTGCTTTTTCCTCTCCAGCATCAGTCACTGGAATAAGTTGACAGCTTTCTCAAAGAGACTGTTGCTCAATGAGAGCAGCACTGTCTGGCCCTAGTGGAGAAGTTATGGGGTTGGATCCTTTGGCTGATGTTCCAAGAGTTCAGGCCAGATGCTCACCATAACTAACTAACCTTAATAATCTATTAATATGTGAAGATACCACAGCTTTGGAAAGAGGTCAGTGAAGACTGGCAAGAATTGTCCAATGACCTGTAGAAAAGTCTGCTTTGTCTCTTGAAGATATGCTATGTGCTGGACAGCTGTTGCCTCCTCCATCTAGGACCCATCCAGAACATTTTAGAATCTTCAACCATGAAAGATAAGACTCAAAATGTATATTTAACTATTAGAGACTGCAGTAGCTTCTTCACTGATCCTTCTATTCCCATATTTCTGAGTCAGCCTCATAACTATCTGCTTCTTTTTCCTTCCAGACTACTCAACTTCAGTTTAGTAAATAGCCAGATACTTCCAAATATTATAAATAATATTATTAAGAAGTTGAGAACTAGAAAAGAGCATACTAGAGCTCTCCCTCGTGACACTCCCAAATCCCTTCCAACCTCAGCAATTTGATCTCTTCCTAAATGAAATTTTTTTATGAGCTTCATTACAAATAAAGAAACTTGGCCTTTGATTAACATATTATTTAACAGAGCTCTCTTTGATATAGTGAACATGTTTTGATTTGGAGTGAATGTTGTACATGGTTATTTAATTACCACTGTTGTTTTTGTGGAGATTTTTAAGGCTGGATTTATCTGGTATTTTCATCTATTGTCAACATTTTAATTTCTGCATGCAATAGAGTATAGCAACTTTTAAGTCAAGACTCTTATACAAAAAGTTTAAGTGAGCAATGAGACATTTCCCTTCTTATTAGTAGCATTTCAACACAATTCCTAAAAACTATGCCAATCTAGAGAAACAGACAGTACTAACACATAGACTTTTGGCCATTCTGTTGGCAAGCTTAAATCTATAGAGTCACAATGATTTACATCTGGATTCACATCAGCTGGAAAACTAGATTCAGGATAACAGCATCTAGGAAAGTCAATGATGTGGAAATATTTTTTTGGCTTTGTATTGCATACTGTGGACGGGATTAATTTCTCCGCCTTTGGCAGTGTCACAGTTAGTTTAAGCTAGTCTAGCCAAAACTGTTCTTTTGGACCATCTCTCAGATAAAGAGACATCTAGCTTCAGTGCGCTACCTTTGGATTTCTATGTCAGGATGAGCTGAATTGT